TCAGGTGTAGAATTATGTGAAAACAAACTAGTAATTTTTCGCGAGACATCACACTAAAGAGATGTCACTAAATAAGCAAATGAATTGTAGGATTCAATGCAAACTAAACATGTAAGATTTCAGTTTGTAGGCTCAGAAAAACTAGTTTAGCGATTATTTCAAAACAAATGTTTTTTGTATATAGATTTTGAAACATTGTTTCGCTAACGTAAGTAACATAGCAGACTTAACAAACATACTGAAACATTTATTAACAAAACTTCAAGATACACTAATACACTATTTACATAAACATCTTAGTTTATAAAACATTTGGTTAGCTTACATACAACTCTTGTACATTTTGTCCATATTAGTATTTGCTCATTTCAGTTCATTGTGTAAATTTTTAATATAGTTTATAATCGAAAACGTTAGTGTACAATTTTTGTATTTTGTTGGGTTCGTCATACTTTACAACAACAGTATCTTATACTCACTACTCAATAAGATTAAACTGTGTTCGGCATACAACAATCAGTAAACAATTCAGACACAGTGAATCAGAAAATATAACTTATACTCAAATTACATTAATAATTTACTAGCAATTTAATTCTACTCTGTTCAGACTAAAGATAAATTCCAGTTGATTACATGTCTAGCCTAGTATGTTTGAACAACTAATACAAGTCTCCATTTATTCTTCTTATATAAAACTTCAAGACATACTAATATACTATGTTCAAGAACATCTTAGTTTATAAAATACTGACCTACAGCCCAATGTAACAATACCTGTGGTATATGCATGTTTTAGCATATAGATATTAGATAAATAGAATAAACCACCTTAAATAAACATAAGGGACATTTTCAAAGTGGTTCAAGCTAATATGCTGAAAGTTTCTTTATTTTAGAAACTCTACAGAATTTAACACGCACTTTAATTCCATAACTACACTGACTGTTCCCCGTCGTGCTAAACATCTGACCTACATCTTCCCAATACTCCTTCCCTATAACATAAAACTGACATGTTTCACCATATCCTAATATGATATCATCAATATGTGTAAGTAACATTACATGCTTGTCAAGTATCGCACATACTTCAACATATATTAACAAATCTTCAATTTAGAAAAAGACGATGGTATCTAGGCTTTATCACAAATAATGTGCACACATTCTACTTTTGAAGCTTTTAAGATCAAAACCTCTAAAAGTTCTTGACAAAATATTTTTATTTTGTTGCTTTTTTGTGATAAAAGATATGGCTTACAAGAAAAGGCAATTCTTTCACATTTTATAAATACATCATGTTTTCTGTTTATCATTACAGAATATACCTTACATTCAAAATAAGTTGTATGTCACTGAACGTAACAGTCAGTAAAAATCGAATTTATCTATTCTTCCACCTTACATAACGATAGAGAAAACTAAATGTAGATTATTGACATTCTCATATTTTGAGGGTAAATTAAAAAGTTACTACTTCCTGTTTTCGGTCTAGAACTCACATATTTGTAGTTCAAAACGACTATTGTTTACAGATATAACATTCCCAGATATGTACATTGTCTGTCTTCTTCAGAGTGAACTGTTTAGACATACAAAGAAATATCAGTGTTGTCCACTTTCCAAATTTGGTTGTGTTCTTCAAATTTATCCAAGAAGCAAATTCCACTGACAGCTCGATAAACTTTTGGAATTAGGAATAACACAAATTGAAACATGTATAAATTATAAGATACTGAACTGCCAAGATCAAATCAACTTTAATACAGATCTAATACATTTCAATTATTGTATAATTTGTGTATGCATTCTACTCAGTTAGACTCCTACTTATCTTCGTTCATGAGTCCTATGGTATTCAGTGACCTCAACTAGAGAATCAGTATGTTCTATTGGAATCAACCTGTTCTATTGTCATGCAATATTTGAACACAATGTACCAGTATATTTCGTCTGATATATAATAACGTGGAACATTGACTGTAACTGTAAAAATTAGAATATTATCACATAAATGTCTCGAATTTGTCGGAGAATGTGTTAAATAATGTGATGTTAGTCACTGTATCATTGGAATAATAAATACTGTAGTGATCGTTTCCAATATGGTGATATATTTATAATTTCTGTGATCTCACGACAAAGGGTATGATCTACAAGAAAATACTTCTCTTTCCTTTACATGAAATCATCTTATGAAGAGCATTTTTATAAAGTTATATATAAACCATGTCAAGCATTCACCAATGTGATTAGATTTCTCTCCAGAGACCATTGTTATAAGGCGCTCGAGTAATGAGTATTTTATTTTTTTGTTTTTGTCTTTTTTAATTTATGTGAACCTCAAGCTAGCAGAGACCCTTTGGCGAGAAAGGTGCTGCCCTCTGGAAGTTTATTATAATTACAGATGATATTACCTAACCGCAGATTGGGATTACTGGAAAGCGACCTGTTCTAGACATCAGATATGTTACTAAAACTAAATCCTTTCGAATGAGCTGCACAGAAGAGGGAATATGTTGCACACTGGGAATGTAAATTGACGTTTTGATAATTGTACAAATAAGTGTTATTTTTTGCAAAACCTTACACTCCCGAGGATGACGCAAGATATACGTCAAAACATGTAGAGTGTATGAGATTGTTTTCCAGTCATATC